CTTTGGTAAGTCTAATACACAGAAAAGCCCCATATAGTTTCAAAATATACAATACGACACCTCATGCTTTGAACTAAATTATAAAGGTGACGAAATCCATTAAATTTAACGGAAATGACTTATTGGAACCTAAAAAAAAATTTTTATGCCTAATTTTTATCAAATATACCTATTGTACCCTTTAACCCTCAATTCTCTCTACTTAGAGAATAAACAAATGATTTTTTTGAACTGTCTTTTGCTTAATTATATCAATGCATTTTGGTTATTTCATCCATTTTCGTTAAGTTTAACGGATTCCGTCACCTTTACAATTTAGTTCAAAGCATGAGAGGTCATGTTGTATATATTGAAACCATGGAAGACTTTTCTGTGTATTAGGTTAATCACAGGGGACTTTTTTATTTTTTACCCTATTTTTTATATCAAAACCGGTACAATTGATTTTATTCAGTAAATCGACAAGGGATTGGTTTTGTTACAGAAGCGAGGTTTTTTAAAAAATAGAGGGAAATTATGCTTTGATTTGCATTCATCAGATGGGTGCAGAATTTCCTTGAAGGTATACATGCTGTAGTGAATTAGTAATATTTCTTGGGATATAGGCGGCTGAAGACAGGAGATACAGCAGCACTGCAAGATACAAAAATAAAAGGACAAAATTGACACCGGAATTACAAATAAACCAGGACAAAAGGGCACAATCGGAATAGGCGACAAAAGCTAAAAGGAGGAAAGAAAGAACAATGGACAAAGGTGCTTCGTGCAGCGGCAAAATATAACGTTGAAAGACAAAGTAAAAGACAGAAAAAGGCAAAATCAGCTGGAGAATCACATTGAAACCAAGACAATCAACTGTAGCTGGAGCTTCCCGCTTTATGTAGTTTAAGATAAGATAAGATAAGATAAGATAAGATTAAGATATGAAGCATGATAAGAGAACAGTAGTCCAACCACTTATTATGAAGAAAAAAAAAAGGGGAAAATGATTTAGACAATCTATTTTATAGTATTAAAATCAAAGAAAAAGCCTACAAATTGTAAGTGTAAATGCAGGCTTATTTATTTAGAAAGTAAATATAACTATATCATGCGTTTGAATTTGTACTTTAGGTTTTTTCTATTTGTTTGAGATTTAGAGGAAAAAAATTTTACCAAAACTTATACTATGGCTCTGAAAAAAAAAAGTATAAGAGAAACAAAACTCTTTTATTTTTATATTGTTTTATTAAATGAATTCTTTTTTATTGTCAATTTTGAGCTGTTGGATTTGAATTTATCAATTGTTCTCCTCTTAGTTATCGTTGGATTGTTAACTTTGTGATGCACTTTGCTAGAGTTTAAAACCTTGGACCATTATTCTTTAGATATAGCCCCTGATTTTTAGATATATAGGCGGCAAGCTTATTTGAGATGAAAATCAAAGAGATTTCTATCATATAATTTCCACAGGATGAGCCAAGAAAATCTCCAGACAACGAGTCTTATAATTCAATAGTGCAACCTCATGCAAAAAAAAAAAGAAAAAAAAGGACCATACTATTCCAAGCTAATAGAAATAAAACTATTTTTTCATATATAATTGAATGGTTTCTATACTATAAAAAATAAGGAGTTTAAATAAATACTTCTTTAGAGTTTAACAAAACTGGTACATTTTTTTAAACAATCATGCACATTTTCCTTTATACTACTAAAAGGTGACAAAAATATGCATATTTTTTTTATTATTAAACACCAACTATGTTGTCACTTCTAAATTATGAAAACACTTATACGTTTTGTTATTTTTTTCCAAAAAATATATTGCAACTACCATTACTTGATCAATTGGTACATTGAATACTTTTTTGTGGGTACTGAATGTGCTTAGTACACCGTAGCTCAACTATATATATATATAGCAGTTGTCATTTTCAAATGGGCTAATTTTCTTAGTGAAAGTTATCCTGAAATAGAATAGTGTGTGTGTATATATATATAGGGTAATATTATTTGTACTCCCCTTATGTTATTTGCACTCCCACTACCCTATTTTCATTTTGATGAGACCAAATTACCCTTACCATAATTTCTTCTATTTGCCCATGAGCTAACTTTACCAGATTTTCTTTTACATTCTAAAACCAATTAATTATTCCATTACACATTAAAATGGCTAATTTAAAATTGTCACTAATATGTATTATGTATTTTCTGCAAAACTTCACGAAATTATATGATGCCAAAGATCAATCTGACAATGTAATATGAATAGATTCCAAACTTCAAGACCAAAATAAATAAATAAATCCCAAACTCCAAAGATGACCAAAAATTGAGTACAAATATAATATCTCATAAACAGGACACTAATACTTCAGAAAGTATACTAAAAATAGCTCATATAGCCACCATAGTGGGAGTGAAGTTTTTTAATATACTTTAACAAAAGCATAACAACATCTAGTATCCAGGTGATGCAATGAGACCTCAATTGTGCTCATTAAAATTCTGCAAAATTGAAATTGCATATCTTGTTTGATTCATTAATCTATTCTAGAGAATTGTCTTCCATTGTTTGAAAACCCTAAAATTTTTTATGGAAGAGAAAAAAAAAAAGGGGGAGCCTAAAATTTTTTATGAAAGAGAAGAAAGTGGAATTGATTTTGTTGCTCGAAAATTGTCTACTAAAGTGGTAGAGTAGCACACGAGCAATGTGAACATAAGATAGAGTAAGAGCAAAATTAGAGCAGGGGTAATATGATCTCATTAAGATGAAAGTGGGATAGTGGGAGTGTAATAACATAAGGGGAGTGCAAATAATATTACCCTATATATATATATATAATAAAAAATGATTGAAAAAATAACATGTGACTGAAAAGAATGTTTATAATACAAGTAAAAAAATTTTAAAATATAATAGCAATCCAAACCGACACAATTTTCTAAAATTGAGAGGGAACAATTTAAAAACAAAGTTCATTTTTTGTAAAACTTTCAGGCTTATCCTAGAAATTTAGCAAAGGTGAGGGTGCCCACCCTCAAGAAAAGGTGGCTCCGCCACTGATGGGCACTCATCCTTCTATGTCTAGATCATGAAGAAGTTTGTGGATTCTATTGGGAAAGGTTATTATCAGTTAGTTGAAGTCAATATTTTTAAACTCAAATTGGTAAGTGATCCAGCTGACTTAGTAGCTCAGGTCAATGCGGTTGAATCTGGAATCTGGTAAGATTCAGTCCGGTTATTGTATTATTTACATTACTCGGTGTATAATTACATCACATTATTATATTCGCAATAAAAGTGATATAAATAAATAAAATATTTGATATATATTCAGTACAACATGTATTTGTAGGGATGGCAACGGGCGGGGGACTCCTCCCTCATCCCCCGCCCCGTCCCGCTTCTCCCGCGAGTCTAATAAAAATTTGTTATATAATTTTATTATGGTTAAATTTTAGCAAATAATCAAGTACTAAAATATCAACACATCATCAAATTATTATTCATTGTAATTTTACAATTAAAACTTATAAAAACAATCAAACAAAAATTATTCGAATACAATCCAACATGATGAAATAAATATAACTAAAATAGTCAAGTTTTCACTTTTGGCACAAATACAATCACTAATTCACTATTGTGCTTGTGCTTTTTTTAAGAAAAAAAATGTTATTGTATTAAGTGTAATTAGGGATTTAGTATAAATGTATTAGTAAATTTAGTATAACCAATTAATAATTTGTATTAGTACACATATATAATTATTAGTATAATTAATAATATCAATTATATTATATATACTAATAGACATCATATAATACATATAACTAATAATATCATTATCATAAGTTTATAACTAATTAAATTATATTATATATATATATAATTATATACATATATATTTTATATATTTATTTTTTTAAAGCGGGTGGTGGGGCGGGGATACACTCCCCTGCCCCCGCCCCAGCCCCAACTCCCTCCCCATTAGCCCCCCGCGGGCACCCAGCCTCCATTACCATGACACCCGACCCCATTGCCATTCCTATGTATTTGTACATAAAAAATTGAGGCATATACAACAATTGGACGGAACCGCATGAAACACGATTATACTGAGTCCATATTTGTTTCGATTTTACTGGTTCAACCGATCGAGTCACCAGTTCACTGCCTTTTTTTATATAAAAAAAACTCTGAAAATTATCATATTCATTCTGCAGGCTGTAACCATCTTCCAGATGCATCACCATAACTATGGCTTTCTAACATCATCTTTATGAAATGAAAGTCGCATCAAACATCTTCAGCTGTTAATTTTTTAGTACCCTCTTCAAAAAAAAAATAAAAATTACCCAAAGTATCAAGAGAAATCTTTCCATTAAGGGTCCGTTTGGTTGGACTGAAAATAATTTCCTAGAGAAAATATTTTCCATCGAAATCATTTTCCTGAAAAATCACTTCCTTCCCCATAATCTTCCAGTGTTTCATTATTAAGTGAAAATATTTTCCAAATTCCTTTTTTCATAATTTTCCAGTGTTTGGTTTGTCAATGAAAATATTTTCTGATATGTTTGTTGATATGTTACAAATATTTTTCTACTCTCAAAACATTCATTTCATTACAAGTTAATTTTAGTTTCTATCCATTATAATCATATTATCATTTCTACAAAATATTTATTCATATTACACCATGAATTCTTAAATGGAATTATTAATGATACTAATGAATTATCTGGGAAAGAAGAGTTAAAAATCAAACGAAAATCTAGCTGAACACTATTCTTTATTGGTATAGTATCATGTCATTATGTTGTTCCTTTGAAAAAGGAGAAGAACTTAAATACAGATAATCTTATATTGGAATATAAAAAATGATAAAAAGAAGAAGAACCTAAATGCAGAGAATCCTATATTGGAATATAAACCAAGATTTCAGCTCCAGAATAAAAAACCTTATTCATGGTACAGAATTAGAACTATTGGTACATACAAACACCCTAATCAAGTCTAGGGTGACTCAAATCCCTGCTTTAAATGTTGTCAGCCTCAGTTGGATAAAAAATCTAGAACAATTCAATACATACAGAGGCAAATATAAGCCAAAATATAAAATATTGCTCAACAAAAATGAAAATCACAACTCCAAATGGAAAATGGTCCCAAAAATATCAGTTGCCCACGTAATAAATCATGGTTATAAAAGAAAAAATCTGTACAACACGTCACCAATGTTCATGTGAATGTTTAACAGGAAAAAACTTAGTGACCAGAGCTTTGAACAAATCCAGTTGGCCTGCACCTACAAATTCCCAAGGCCACGGCAAGTGGCAAGGTACTCAGTCAGCCCTCCTTTTTTCCACTTCTAGATCACCTCCAAGGTTCAATGGTGCTGAAACACAACAGGAAAAATAAATATTTTAATACGTGAGAGAAGCATCAAGTCCACTCGTGAACCACAACCTATTATAACTCGTAGGCCATACAAGAAACAATTATTCTACAAGGCAATTGCATAATTCAGTTCACGTACTTTATTCGACGCCCCAATCTTTCTTGAACCTCTCGAGAGAAATCAAATGAAGTCTTTGACTCTTCACCATAAATGCTTTTCCTAGCTTCTTATTTTGCACCAAATGATCGAATACCAAGTCCAGAAATTCTTTTCACATGGATGGGTTTCACAATTATAAATTCATATCCATCAAGATATGCAAATTTTCAAGGACAAATATCAGAGAATAATTCATGCTCTTTGGGGAAGGAGAAGTACATTATTACCATCCAAGCCTCTTAGATTACATCACTTTCGTAACTTGAATCACGCACATCTATCTTCATTGCCTTTCCATTTCCAATTTGCAACTATCACCACATGTGAAAACAACCCCTTGAAATCGAATCACATGCCCAATCAAATTTCAAACACATTTTTATAACTACCATAGTTTTCACATTTTTCCATAATCTTTACTAAAGACTTCAAAGAGGGTACATGTGAGAGCAAGCACACAATTCATCACAGTAATCATATATAAGTTCCAACTGACAAGTTCAAATCAGGAACCAGTCATATTGTAAGACCAAATGCCTTTCATGTACCTCATACTTCTATTTACTGTATAATCTAAGTGGAAGACACTAAAATTATGGAAATCAATGTCCAGTACTCCTCTTTTATTTAAGCAAATTCAAAAGCAAACAAGAGCTTTCAGCCAGAGTATCCGGTAAATTAATCCTAAAAATGAATTTAGGCAGCAGAAGGACTTGCAGAAGACATATTTTCACCCAAAACGTGATTTTGAATCAGATAGCAAAAACGCTGGCTATAAAACAGGGAGGGAAAAAAATACCTAATAGCATTTACAAGGTCTTTGGTAGACAAACCAGAGCTATCTTTCACCTTAGGGAACAAAATGACAGGGATGACTTTATCTCTAGCGAACTCTGCACCTCCGCAGTCTGTTATGCATAAAAAGTCACAAGAAAAAAATGATCAGAAGACAGCATATGAACTTAAACTTTTGACACTCCATCACTTGCTTGTTTGATACAAACAAACACGTAGGACCATGATTTTATTAGTTTCCACTAAAATGGAGCTAGAATGCTATCAATCCATAAAGCCTTTATTATCACAAGAATCTTGGTATTCAGTTCATTAATCTCCTTTCACAAACTTATCATGGCATAATCTTCACAAAACCTTCTCTACAAGTGTTCCTAAAAAAATTGGAAGCATCAATGCGTAAAACAGGTGGTGCATCAATATGATTTTCTCAAACTGGTTTTTCATATGTGTTAATTCTTACTTATTTGTGGTGACAGCCTAGCAACTACAATGATTTTCTATTTGTTGTTTAATGCCTACATCTTATTGCAGGAATATAAGTTGTGGATATTGAAAACTATAGAAGTGCCGTGGGATCTTTTTAATAAAAAGTTTACTGCTCTCTGGGAGGAACACAAGCAAACTGTTTTCCTCCCTAATTAGATTTTGTCAACTATTTACAAATGGTCTCACCAGATTGCAAGAAAAACACTACCCTACCCTACCCGGATTGGTCCAAATAAGAGACGCAGTGAAGGTGTGCAATTGTATATACAGGCGCAGTGAAGGAGTTTGTGCGTGAAGATGAGAAACTGAGAGTTAAAAAATACCTGCCGAATGAAGATGACTTGCAGATTATGTGGTGGTAGCTGCCGAGATAGTGTCGCGGGAGGAGGTGATCGCCACCGAGGACTGACGCCGGAGGAAGCGGGAATGGGGATTCTTCGGCAATGAAAGGAAAAGAGAGAGAGAGAGAGAGAGAGATGCCAGAGTAGCTTACCTGATGAGATGCCGGAAATGAAAGGTACCTTTTCCATCCAAACAAACAGACCCTAAATGCAGAGTCAAACAAAATAATTTTCTTAAACAGGAAAAAAAATCTTCCTAACGCAAAAGCCAAAAAAGAAAACTTCAAAAAATAAAACAAAATTTTATTCAAGAAAAGAAACTTCAAGCAAAAAAAGAATATTCAACAAAAGAAACTTCAAACTATAAACAGAATAGGAATATCGGAACATAGAAAATAAGAAAGAAAAAAGAAAACTTCAAACCAAAAAAATTGCTATAAATTGATCCAAACCTACATCATCCCAATATTTAGTAACAGTTTTATCATCCAAGAATGAAATCAAATCTATAATGTATAAGGATTTTTCAGAAAAAAAAAAAGGGAGAAGAGCGTAATTTGGAATTTTGGAGAGATAATCAAAAGAAAGAAAAATGGGGGGCAAAGAGTTGGGGCTATGTATCGAAGCTGTAGCAGAAGTCATAGGGTTTCTTTTAAATGTTTTAGTTCTGTTTGTTTAGAAATCTAAATTTACCTGTAAAGGACTAAAAGAAGAGTTTCTCTCAGGTTTGAAACTTTGAATTAGTACTCCTAATAGAGGCAGTAATGCAGTTTCACGTGATTGGTATTTTGTTGGAATGACATCTCGATTGTCCATCGCAAGCAAGCTCACATTTGGGCCATTTTGTGATGTATAAAGTAAATGCCGTGGTTTGCGGTTCAATCACTTCTTGACTGGTTCAACGATTTTTTTTTTTCCGGATCATAAGCATGACTGATTCACAGACCATTAGTCAAACCAGCTGCTCTGGTCACGGTCTAACTGGTCAAATCACTGGCTGAATTTGACTCTTATTTGATTAATTCTGCGTCTGAGGAAACTAAAGAATCGTAAAGGTTCTTGTTGATGCAAAGCTAACTGCTAACTGATTTTGAAGGGTGCACGAAGCTGATAAGAGGCTCAAGTTGATATCTGTTTGAGAAAAGACTTAGGTGACGTTTGGTAAGAGGGTTTCGGAATGGGAAATTGGAATAAATCCCATAATTATTGTTTGGATTGGAATCGGGATTTTGGAATCATACCTAAAAATTTAAAATTCCTCAATTCCCTAGTAACTTGGAGGGTTTTGGACAAAATCCAAGTCTAATTCCCATTTAGAAATGGGACCCGTCCTGCCACCCATTAAAAAATTAATATATAATTATATACATATATATATACAATTATGTATATAATATATATTATAATGATAATATTTTATTATAATTATATATTTTATTATAATATTAGTATAATTATATAATAGATTTATAATTATTATACAGATATATATAATATATTATATAAATATATATTATAATTATTTAATTAAATGTAATTATATTTATATAATATATATTATAAATTTATTAATATTATACAATAGTATATTTATATTATATATATTATAAATTTATTAATATTATACAATAGTATATTTATATTATATATATATTTATAAATGTAAATTATATGTGCATATAATTATAATATATACATGTATATAATAATAATATGTTATATAATTATATTTATTTTTATTATTATAAATATAATAATATATAATAATATATAATAAAAATTATATTTAACATATAATAAATATATAAATATTAATTATACTAACATTATATATTATAAAGTATATTATATTATAATAAAATACTAATATATTTTAGTATAATATTAGTATATTATATAAATATATGTTATAATTATTTAGTTAAATATAATTATATTTATATAATATCTATTATACATTTATTAATATTGTATAATAATATATTTATAATATATATGTATATTTATAAATGTGTATTATATGTGCATATAATTATAATATATACATGTATATAATATTAATAAATTATATATTTATAATTATATTTATCATTTTAAATATAATAATATATAATAAGTATATTTAATATATGATATACATTATATTTATATAAAATATTAGTATAATTAATATTTATATATATTATATAATAATAATTATATATTTACATTATAACATTTGTATAATTATATTTAATTATATATAATATTTAATTTAATTAGCTACAAACTTATAATAATGATATTATTAGTTATATGTATTATGTAATGTATATTAATCTATGTAATATAATTGATATTATCAATTATACTAATAATTATACATGTCTACTAATAGAAATTATTAATTAGTTATACTAAATTTACTAATACATTTATACTAATATATTTAATTAGTGAAAATTTCTTATATCCCATTAACAAAGAGTCAACGAACTAAATATCAATTATAATAATGCTATATATTCCTGGTACTGAACCAAACAAATGTATTGGAATGATTGATTCCATTCCAAATCCAGGATGCATGATTCCAAATCCGATTCTAACATGTGAACCAAATGCTTAGTTAATTTGCCAATACAGCTTTTAAATAAGGGCCAATCTAAGGAGCCAATATGAAATTTGGCTTATTTTGGAGTCTTTTTTTTTTTTTTTGTCGACATCATAGATTTTACACCTACTCCTACTCTTACTCTACACAAAGAGGAAGAGGTGAACCCAAAGAGGTCAATGGGGAATGCACAGAGAACTGAACTACCACTGGATCAAACGAGTGCCTTTACACCCTTTGGTGAATTTTTCTAGAAATTCTAGAGAAAAAATGCAGGTCAACGGGCACCCAAGGAGTTTTAAATCTTTTCCTAGTGGTCAACTACTCTAGAGGTAGTTGGTTGGCTTATTTTGGAGTCGATGAGAAGGCCGTTGGTGTACTATGACCTAATTATAGGGCCAATCGAAGAGCCAATAATAGTAGCATCCATCCATGTTATGTAATTTAGCAAGAGGCAGTTAGTGGAAGTCTATCGACTAGTCATGATCGGCAGCATATAATAGCTGATGACAGGCGGTGATTCATAGGAATGCTAGCAAGCCGATAATCTGCGAGCTGATAAAAGTATTAATCAGAGAACTTAGTTACAAGATCACACCCCAAAAATAAGGGAATAGTGGAGCTTGTTAATGGCTTGATGAAGTAGTGGCCGATTTAGTGTTGGAGTGGTCCCTTCAATGTGATTGAAGAACATGGGAGAAGCATCTACATGCAGTTACAATCTGTTGGTGATTTCCACTTTTAAGAAATTCTCAACTATAATACTTGGGAAGAATGCCAAAGAAAGGGATAGAAAAACAACTTCCAGAGATACATCTTGAGAAAAGGTTCTCAACTTTCTTTCATATTCAAGCCCTTTAGATTAGGATTTCCAGCATTCATGGTCATTTCAATTCGTAGAGCAGAGTTAGGAGCTTTGTTGAGAAATTTCCAATTTTGTGATGAATTTTAAAAAAATTCTACAAAAGGGGTGATTTTGGTGAGGGAATCCGTGGGGGGGTCTTCGCATTCGCGGAATGCGAGCTCAATAGAGCTCAGAAAGTATAAGTAAAATTTTTGTGCTTATTTTTTTTCGGAGGCAGAGATTTTTTTGTATTAAAACAAAATGTTTAAAGATTTCGCATTCGCGTTCGCATTCCTTAAAAAAAAAAAATTTCGGAGGTCAATAGAGCTCACATTACACTAAGTATAATTTAATTTTTTTTGCTTTTTTTTTGGGAGCTAGAGAATTTTTTCCAGAAAATAGTAAGAGCTAAATGCGAGCTCCTAAATGTTTTTTTTTTAAATTTTCAAATAGCTCGCATTTGATAAATTTGACCTCCAAAAATTGTATTTAATTTTTTTGTTAGATTTCGCATTTATAAGTATGACTTTCAGAAAATTAAATTCAAACTTGCTAGAAAAAAAAATTTTAAATGAAATTTACGAGCTCAAAAAAAATGTAAAATTAAATGTAAATGTTGTTTGTTTTGTAGAATTTGCCTTTACTAAAATGCTGTCGGTAGTAAAATCTTATTTTAAAATCTCTACTAAAATCTTATATTTCGGAGAAATGTTAGAGAAATTTTATTTAAAAATCTGTAATTAGCAGAGGAATAAATTTTTTTTATTTTAAAACTTGCACGTGCCTAAAGTCATCAAATATGTGCTCTAAAAAAAATCATATTCACAATAATCTTTTTAATATAATTTACTATACATGCATATTTCTTTTATATTAAAAAAAATTGGTAATTGTACGGTTGGAAATACGTTATTTTATTATAATACATTTAAATGGTGGAAAAAGTACACATGCATAGTTCTTTCTATTTCATAGATCAATGTAAAAATAGAATGAAATTGTTAACATGTAAGGTGTTGACTATATTTTATGAATAAAATACTAACTTTTTTTCCTTTTTTATCAAATAAATTTTTTTTATCAAATTCTAATTTTCCTTTGTTATTAATGAATCGTATTTATTTGTTGACACCGATGAATATTAGTTATAAGAATCTAATAATTAATAGTCATTACTATCTGTTACAATTTCAACTGTAATTTTAGAAATTCCATAACGCAATGTTATTTAAAAAAATTATATAAGTTATTTTTATGAAGTGCATGTTATTTGTTTGGTAGTTGAAAAGGTAAAGAAAAAAAATTAAATCAAATATCTAGCGATTAAATCTTGCGTGTTTTACCTTTTACAATTATTGGCAGGATTACTATTTTGATTAAAAATATAAAGCGATAATCAAGGCAAATTTATTGTCATGCAAAAATCCTAAAACCCTAAGTGTTAAAGCCGTAAAACACTAAATCGTAAATCTTAGAAACCAAAACCTTGTAAACCCTAAAACATTAAATCAAGGTTGTTGGGTTTATTAAAATCCATTAAAAAATATTTTTGCGGCACGATAGGATTACTATTTTAATTAAAAATCTAAAGTCCTAATCAAGGCACACTATTGTCAAACTAAAATCCTACAACCCTAAACCCGAAAGTGCTATTCTCCTAAAACACTAAATCTTGATCTCTAAAACCCTAAAACCCTGAATCCTAAAAGCCTCAAAC